TCCTTACAGTGAATTGTTATTGTTGAGAATAGATTAACTCCTCCCGAATATTATCTAATATTAAAATAGTTCTTCTACCAGTATTTTCTCTTTTCTGTCCCACTTTCAGGCCTGCTAGAAACATAAAAATTGGTAGCACAATGATTTCATTATTTGTTTTATCTTCGAAAAGCAGAACACTCCTATCCAACCTAATATTTTAAAGTTATGAAACTTTTAAGTTCATCAATAATAACAAAATAATAGAAAAAAAAACTAAATAATAGCTAACGAAAAAATATTATTCAAACAATTATAAACTATCACTCTTTTAGAGCTTTTAAAAGTACTGTAATATATTAATTTCCGGTTTCTTTATGTAATACGTTGTTGAAAAAAATCATCAAGTTGCTATAATTATTAAAAAAATTAAAATGGATAAAACACTTTATAAAACTATTAAATAGTTCAAATATATTTAACAAATTTAATATCAAAATATTAAGTTTTGCGCATAATATGAAGGGAAATTTTTTAAATTAATTGTTTGTTTTTTTAAAAAACTTTTCAATTATCAATACAAATAATATTTCGCTTAAACCTGTTATTTGGGAAGGTAAATCATACTAGGAACAACTGTTCTAAGATGCTAACTTGCTCAGGACAGAGGATAAATTTTTTTGAGTGGTTGTTTTTGAAAATGTGATTCTTGAATTGGTAAATTCGATTTATAGGTCCTCTACTCAGAACTACTTCTAAATAATTCAAAGGCGTATATGAAACACCACTTTATCACAGCTGACACATGTTCATCACGTTAAAAAGTTGACATACTTAATCAAAATCTGCTAATTAAATTTTTTTTATTCTATACCATTATCAAAACATTTTGTCCAATCCGGAGCAGATGGCTTCTCTGATTGTTTGAACCCAGGTAGTTCAGTAATTTTTAGTAAATGAGTATTAACCCGTTTTGTCCCGAATTCATTTATTGAAATGATACAAAAAGTGGTTTATGAAAAATGTGGTATAATATATTATCGAAATTAATTGGTTTTTCTACTGTTAGGGCATTCAAAAAGTCATTAATAGATCAAAAAGTACTTGCTCCTAATAATTCTAGATCTAATCAGAAATAACTAAATCATTGTGGTATCTGAGAATCTTTTAATTCACCCAGATTAATGAAAATACTGAAAAAACTTTCTCACCACAATGAATGTCTTTGAAAAAAGGAACTGTCCTATATATATGACGCTGGGCGTTAACCGGTTAAGTCATGTAAAAACTTTAACAATTAGTTATTTAAATAACAAATGTTGCTAGTGAATTCATGTACTCATGTACAGATTAATGAAAGCAACCATAAGCTCGTAATGATTCAACCAGAATAATAAGAATTAAAATAGGGTTACACAAGATGGTGCTTGGCTCCAGCCAATATCACCAAACGGAGCCGATAGGGTTGTAAATTTCGTAAGTTAGATTAATTTATAAGAATGTAAACCTAATTAATGCAACTTAAACTTTTCTACTCAAGTACTTTAATTTTTATCAATATGACTAACTTAATTGTGTAGTATGATATTAAATATGTTATACTGCATCATATTGTACTATTATATTGTAATACACTATAGAATATTATGCTAATTGTATATTACGATATAGTACAATATAAGTAATACTGGCTCTGAAATTATAAATGAAGCGAAATTACCATCTAAACTAGATGGAATGGTGAATTCGTTTAGTGTAAATGTATTCGTTCGTTGTTTTGTTAGTGTGATATATGAAATTGCTGCTCCTTTACATAACTTTCAATTTGGAAAAAAAATTTAACGTAATCGCATTTCTTTTTCAATATTAATATTATATGGAAAATTGCTCGTTAGAACAAAAATTGCACAGTTGCCAACTTGCTCCGATTTGTAAAAAACTATTTTCTAGTAGTATTGAAATTTAAGTTATTTCTTATAGTATTTTCAATTTTAAGTAATTTTAACACCACTACATATAAAAATTCAAAGTATGATATGAAAAGCAACTTCATAACAATTATCTCCGACTTTGCAATCGCAGCAAATATATAAACTTAATTCTATCTCATAATTATATTATTCCTTTTTAAATTTTTCTTCATTTTTCCTCTCCCTTTCAAAATTTATGATGAAAACCACAAGGTTAAAGGCCCCTTAGGAGCCTAACCTTGAACAATCATATCACCAAGCAGAAAAATCAGGTTGACCCTTTCAAGATGTGGGCATAATGATCCTTATTTTACAAGTTTTGCAATTTAACTCACTACCAATTTATTTAAACTTTTGCAAAAACCGGAGGAGTTGACATCCCTGCAATTTCTAAAACCCAACTGTGCACAGATATGAAAAAGCAAAGGAAATGAAAACCCTCCAAGCTTTTTCAGATAAGACACGATACTCCTATCTTGTATTTACCCAAAAATTCATCCCTTGACCATTACGAATTTCAAAAAGTGGTAAAAATGAAACAAAAATAAACATTTTAATCGGGAATGCAAACTTCTTGGTTTTAAATATATTATATTGTAAATTGGTGTAATCTAAAACACTTAATTTTCATAATTCCTAAAAGCTTTATCGCAATGAATATAAAACAAAGTGGCATTTTGTAAGTAAAATCAGTTTTTATTTGTAATATATTAATCCGAGAACCAAGTATTACTTTTCTGCCACTGAAAAAAATCTTCATAAAGTGGAACTAGTTGGCATATCTGCTTTAATACACATGAAAACAACACTATGTGTCTTTTTTTTAAAAAAAATATTTAACCAGTTAACTTCTTTTCATTCCAAAAATAATTTTCTGAAGTGATAATAAAATGTAAATTAAGAAATCTGAATGAATTTTGTTGTGGCAAAACTTACTATCACATTTTATGCTTATTTAATTATATGCGTTTTAAATTGATTTAAACTAAGATCGCATTAAAATAATTGAAACTTAGTAGGCTTGATAGCTCTCTAAAAGTGTTTTTAAAT